ATACTCTTACATTCAATAAATTTTAAAATCTGTCTCGCAAGAATTATAAAGTTTTAAAATATATTGAAAAGAAAAAACTGCATCATTGTAATATGAAGATAACGTTTCTTTTGCGCACATATTTTCACATTCTGCACGATGAACGGCCTCGAAGATTCGCTATTAGGACTCAAATTTTCTCGAACACGACCATGTGCAAGAATCACGTGGCGTGCAGCGGCGAAGATTTTTCGGGCTCGCGTGAGTAAGACGCGACGCGCGGATGCTCGAGACACCGTTACCGGCGTACACAGCGCGCCGGTCGTTATACACTCAACATTCTGCAATCTACCCTTTCTATCGGCCCTAATTTATGTTGAGTAAGGCAACAGTGCGAGCCCACCCCCTTGCTTGCTTCGCTAGGAAGCCTCGGTAATGTTTCAAGTGGCTTGTCTGTTGTTAATTTACCCCGGTGGGGCCTTGATGGGGGTCTGTCTACCCGCCGCCACGCTCCACTCGTTACGATAAATCGGTCATTATCTGTACTACCTACTCGCCATGTAAGTACCGCGACTTGGAATTATACCGACGTGGAAAATTTTCGATCCGTTCTTGAAGCCTAAATAGGCATCGCATTACAACGATCTTTTGCTTAAAAGCGAACGAATTCTCGTGGCACGATAACAATCGCGTTATCGTTATCAATCGCGCAAATTGTTTTTAATTTATTTAAGTAAGTACAATATTACACGCTACAAATATTTTCTCTCGTTCTCAAAATCGTTAACGTCAATTTACGGTTAACGCTATCCTTTTGTTTTTGCAACTCTACGCGTTTTCATTTGTAACATCGTTTACGAAAGAACGAGATGCACGATCCATTCGACCATTGCTGCGCTCATCATAATTTTTGGCATTTCGACTCGGCCACTGTCCATGCGGGAGAAACGGTCGTAAACATATACGAAGCAGGAGAACGAACCCTTTTCCGCGTATCCTCGCACCCTTTCGCGCCGAGGCAGGCCGACTCGGGTGGAACATTAATATCGCGAAATGAAGCTCATTTGCATATAAATAAGGCGGTGGTGGGGCACGGCAACGGGGCGAGGGAAGCCAGGATGAACCATCCCACTGCTCTGCTGCACCCCCCTTCTTTTGCCCTCCCTTATACCCCCGAGCCTCGACTCCCCAGGAACCCCACCCTGGACTAATTACACTTACAGACAAAGCGGCCTGAACCGAGGGGTCGAGCGGATTCTATCTCTTACTCCCTCTCACTCGCTCTTCTCTCTTTCTTCTCTATGACTATCTCCATGATTCTCTCTCTCTGCCAAACGGTCTCTGTCTGTCTTCCTAGTTGTCTCCGTTTTGTCCTTTCCGTGTAGAGAGCAGACCCTCTGCCACTGTCTCGCTGGGTTTCCACTCCCGATAACACCCTTTCGCAATGACCACGTGATAATTGCGACCCCCCGCAGGATTCGTTAGAATCCTTAATCGCGAAGGAAATTCATTCTCGCCTTTTTACGCCCTCTTGATGACATGCCGAATGATATCAAATAATTATCCATCTCGATCAATCGTGTAACGCTGCGTGTAACTAGCGAACACAGATGAAGAAAATTTGCGATAGAAACAAATTACAGTCGGCAATTGAATTGCTTAAATATATTTATAAGTTTATGTTTATTGCAAACTATACTCTCAACGGAACCATTCAATCAAGGGGTTTAAATGTTTGAAAAGTTTTGCAAAATTCGAACGAAACTATATATATAAATTAGTGGTTTTAACTTAATTTATACATTATTACATTTTGTAGCCATATATAAGCCATATATAAAATACGTGAATATAAATACGTCCTATTTAAAAAGAAATGTTTCCTGCTTTCTGATAAAAACACTAGACATTTTTATTGGAATCTTAGTTGATGTGTGTAAATTAATATCAGTAAAAATTAATTTGCAATTCGCTTGCAAATTTATGAAAACTCCTAAATATTTCTCGCGTATTCGTATTTTCAACAAGCAGACATTAACGTAATAAACCTCGCGGACATAGATTTTCCCTGCCAAAAAATCGCTCAATTTTCATAACGGCTAACAGTACTCTGTTCAACAAATCGATCGTCAGTGCGGGAACAGCCGCAGCGGAAGATGGGATGAAATCGGCACGGTGCGACGCGGCGCCACGTTTCAGAAAGAAACATAAAAATGCGTATTACCGATTCCGGAATACGGCCATTAGTCTGAAGTCAGCCCAGCTATCGTTTATTAAGCGCAAACAGATATTAATGTATTTTTACACGCGCCCACGAGTTTTGTTCTGCCAGCCGCTACCGCCGCCGCCGCCGCCACCACCGCCGCCGCCGCCGTCGACGCCGTCGACGCCGCCCGACGCCGCCGACGCCAAACTACAGCGCGGTCCGCGCGGGGTCGAAGCCAAATCCAATTACTTTTATTCGGGCGAAATGAGTGCAGCTAAGTCATTAATACTAATCAATGGACCGGACCTGGACCAGCTAGAGCGCACAGGCCCGGGCGTTCCACAGGAATTACCCATAACTCAAACGGCTCGAAATGACTTTATTGCAAAAAACTTGCGCTTTGCTACCAGCCGCGCCGCTTCTCCTCGCGTACGCATTGTTAGAGACCCCCGCGCCGATAAGTAATGTTTATTGTTGTATTTCCAACGCCCGACCGAACGCTCTTCGTTCTCTCTCTCTTCTCCGACCCGTGTATTTTTTTCGCGCCTCCCACTGGTCGTTCGCATTCACCGCCATCCCTGGTCGCGGGAGTGAGAGAATCCAGCCCGGTTTTTCGCATTAGCGAGATGGCCTATGGACGCGGGCTAACGATTTTTTATTGACCGTGCGACCGATTTCTCCCAGGGAATTTAAAACGTTGGCGGAACCAATGGCGTGGGCGGTCGCTCCTTCTATTTGACTTTGTTGGGTAGTTCGATTGTCTCCAGGCGTGTGGAACGAGAAATCAAACACTAATTACAAGTTATAACTCACTTTTTTCACATTATATACAATTATTGATACTATTTTCACTGCTTTGTAATTGTGTATATATTTATGAAAGATAATTAGAAATTATAGAGATATATAAAAAAATGAAAGATTAACGAGAGTGACTCGACAGTTGAGAAATTGGTTTGATTTATTTCTCGATTAAAATGTGCATCAATAATATAAATGTTTGGTTATGTAGAAATAACAAAAATAGTAAAAATAGTAGAAATAGTAAAAATGTGTTTAACAAATTAAAGGACAGTCGATGATTTCATACAAAAACTGTTATTCTATGTGCTGCGATGCTGCGGTACTGATTAATTTATGTGAAATACCGAAAGCTCGTAAACATATGTTTCTACGGTTGGCTGTATATCGTGTGCACTTTTACAAGCAAAATGGTCGAGCCTGTGCATTCAACTAATCCCCCTCGCCTCGTCCATTTAATATAGGGTGGCCATATTGGCGGTATAGCCGTTTACGAATTTGCGTGGAAAAAAAAATTGAACTGCCGTACCCCTTGCGTCTCCTATTTTCGTTCGTTACCTATCGACCGGGCTTTATCTATTTTTTATGCAATGAAATGCCTCGACCAGCGACGCGCGCGGTCCATTGTGCGACTTTGACGAAAATTCAAGCCGGGATTACAAGCCGCACCCAGAAAATACCTCTTTTTATTTTTAGAAAAAGCTGACCGGAATCTAATGAGATTGTTTGACAATGCAATAAACGCGATATTTGCGCAGCGATTTGTTTTATTTATTCGCGGTTTCATAATTTTTTTTTTTCTTAGAAAATGGTGAAAGAAACGACGACAGTTTTCATAAGGCCTGATTTTACTGCAGTATCTTGACCATTTCTCCGCATTGCGTGTGAATTCCGTTGAAATTTTTTCATCAACATACACAGAATAATCGTCGCGTATCAGATATAAAGTGATAACCACCGGAGAAGCTTTTCTAGGGTTTATTCATGGGTCCAGTTACTCGTGGGAACACTTTTTCCCGAATTACTCGAGTGTCGAAGTTCTAAAATGCTTAATCTGTATCCAACTATGGCGATACACGTTCCGGCATATTTCCATACCATTATGCAAAGAGGCCGCACCGGTAACATTACTCTCCGCGGCACAGCCACCACCATCGATATACACTTGTGGTGGTAAAGCATTACGGCATATATACCCCATCGATTTATTATAATTTAGATTGTCTTCTAAGAACCTTGACTACACGTGCACATATACAGCACGCCTTAATGTGCCGGCGTTCGTTAATTATTCCGCTGCTATTCCGTAAATATGCATGAATTATATATCTTCAGGCACGAAAGCGGAGCGACGAAAAAGCATGCGATTAATATATTTTTTTCGCGCAGTGATTCTCGCCTCCTCGCGTAACTTTCCGCATTTGTTTGTCGGTGAGAATTTTTCGAAGTCACGATATACCATATGTCGCGCGGCCCTATCAAATTGGTATTGATTAAATCGGACGCTCGGCTCGACGACCAAGTTAATTCCAAAAATGCGTTATTGGGCGTGAATAACTAAATCACTTTGCCCGCACGCGTTGCTGGATTATGTTTATGGGCAAGGACCGACACCAGGATAATACAGACAAGCTCAATTTTCATTGCCACGCGTAAGTGATATTGAAATTAATATTCGGCAATGATCACCGACATGTTTTAAGACTCGTTGATTTATATACGTTACATTGTGATAATTATTATCACTAATGTACTTTCCACTTTTTCTATATCACTGCCACAATCTAGGAATTGAAATATTTACACGTGTATCGACTGTTATTCTATTTCGAAGGGTCAGAGAGAAAGATCAGCACAGTAATACGTGCTTAACTAATTAAAAATGTTACTAACATTAGTAGCTAATAATATAATTTAATTCGAAGTTTCTTACAATTTTTGTTTGATTTGCATAAAATAGTTGAATTTTAGTTTGTAATTATATATCTATGAATATGTATGTCTGCTGTTACAGGACAGCGACAGGAGTAGCGCTGGAAGTCCTGAGCCGGCGACAGGTGGTGGTGCACTCCACGAACATCAAATGATGATGGATGACATAAAGAATTCACGGAAGAGACGACGAAGCCCATCACCTGAAAATCTCCATCAAGCGAAGCGCGCGGCGGTCGCACAAGCTCATCTAAACGGAACAAGTAAGTGCGAGATAATGTTCTTCTCAGACACGACCGACTTATTTATTCATAATATCGATATTGTTTACTTACTATAAAAATTTATGTGCAGTGGCCGGCATGGTGACACTTCAAAATCTTCAGAATCTAGCGAATTTGCAAAACCTTCCACAAGTCGCATCACTGGCTGCCGGTCTTCAAGGAATGACAGCGGGATTAACTAATAATCAGTTAATCAATACTCCATTGAATTTAACCGTCAGCTCGTCAGGTAAGCAACTGAGTGTACAAATTTATCAAAATTTTAACGCGTATTTAAATAGATATGAGAACTCGCGCGGCTAAAATTGGAACGCACAGGATCGAAAATCGGAAATTAGATAACAAAAGTAATTTAACGCGGTGAAATCGTTAATTTTCATTCTCAGGCGGCACGGTACCAACAGCCTCGAGTACGACGGCGGCTCCCCACCTTCTGCCACCTAGCTCAGCCCCAATGGCGACGTTACCTCAGCTATTATCTCAACCACAACCGGTCGCGATGCCTCAATTCATCCTAACGTCCGGTCAATTGGTTCAAGGCATTCAAGGGGCTCAGCTTCTTATCCCCACTTCGCAAGGTAAGTCATCTAGCTCTAGCATGTATAAATTCCGCATTCTCCGAACATAGATGATGCCGCTTCTCACATATCTTACCGTCATAATATTGACCTCGATTGCTGGCGAGGGATCTACGAAATTACAACCAAAATTCCAATCAACTGAAATTCCATCGACGGTTTCCGCGCGCAAAATCATCATTGCCGCATGAAATACATAACCCGAACGCTGTGCCGGCGCATAATGTTGTGCAATCAAGATGTGCCGATATATAATATAATATCGACTATCTCTGACCAGCTCGGACTAAGGCTGGCCCGTCGTCCATACTTAGTGGTCCTAGACTGCCTCGGCGAGCACAGGGCAAACTCTGCAACTAATTTCAATGTATAATTAACGTCTCACTACCCCTTTCCAACCCCATGAATCCCACCCCTTCCTGTCCCCCTTTCTCGGGTCCGTCCTCCCTCTCCCCCGCCCCTCCATACTCGTAACCCTAGCACTCACTGGCTGGACATCGCAGCTCCGCGGATTCGGCCGCTATTATATCGATTGCGGTCCGCGCTAACTTCGTTTCTACCAAGTTGGGTTCCTATTCTGGCAATCGAGAGAGAAAGAGAGAGAGAGAGAGAGAGAGGAGAAG